ACCCAGTATGAGTTTAAGGCGAAGAACGTGAAGAAGAGGAAAGTGACCATCGTGGTCTCGGTGGACGGGGTGAAGGTGTTGCTAAGGAAGAAACCAAAGGTGGGTGGCCTGGCCTTGGGGAGCCCAGGGATCAGAGGGGCAGTGCCCCAGGCTGCTGGGGTGGGAAGGGCGGATTTCAGGGGATGCTCTTATTCCAAGAGAGACCCTGGACCTCTATGGTTTATCGACTGACCCCTGTCTCCCTTGGCAGAGGAGAAAGCAAGTCCTCTTACAGCTCCTAGGAGCTCCCAGCGTCCCATCTTGCCAAGGGGGTCTCTTGCCCCCTCGACTCCTGGGGAGTAAGGGGTGCTGCCTGGCTACCAAGCCCATTCGCCCTGCTAACGCCGCCTCTCCTCTCAATCTCCTTTCCAGAGGAAGGAATGGACCTGGGACGAAGGCAAAGTCATGGTGATGCACGACCCCGTCTATCGGTGAGCCTCCGGCAATAACGCCCTTCTTCTTTTGCCTCTCCGTGCCCATCACGGTGCCCAGGCACAAGCCCCTACTTTTTTAGTGCCGCTGCAGCAGTCACTAAACAAACTCTAAGCCAGGGTTCCAAATAGCATCCCCAAATAAATAACTCTCCACGGCTAGAAGTTCCTCAAAGTCCCAATTGATGAAGAGAGCCATGTTGGCACATCTGCGACATTAACCCAAATCTGAAAGCTTCCCAGTTTTCTCCACCCAGTTGAAAGTTCAAGATCTTGCCCCAACACCCACAAGTCCATCCCATGGTCCAATCATCCACTGCCACGAAGACAGATTCCTCCCATCCAGTTCCGGCCAGGTGCCGAGACAAAGATGACCTTGGCTTTCTAAGAAGAATGTTGTTATGGCTACATATCACTCGACTCCATATAATCCCCCCTCCCATTTTCCCAAAGTAGAAAGTCTGGCAGGCTTGGAGTCCAAAAAGAAAAGGTGACTTGCAGGCGTGACACTGCCATAAGTTGAGGACTATCTGTAACAACACAACACTTAACTTGGGACCAAACAGCCCGGCTATAGATCTGCCTCCATCTTCCATGGGGAAGGCAGGAATTGCGCACATCTGTAAGGGGCCATTGAATCGCTGGGTGTTATATTCCCCGATTCAAGGATGTCTGTGGTTTCAGCCATCCGCATCCAGGAAGACCAGGAAGATCAACCCCTCCAGAACCTCTGGAGCAGAGGTCTTCAAACTTGGCAACTTTAAGACTTGTGGACGTCAACTCCCAGAATTCTGGAAGTTGAAGTCCACACGTCTTAAAGTTGCCAAGTTTGGGGACCCCTGCTCTGGAGGATAAGGGACCATGCTGTGCTAGAGTTTATGAATGTTGAGTTGTTGAGTTGCTCTCAACCGTGGCAGCTTGAAGACGGGTGGACTTCAACTGCCAGAATTCCCCAACCACTGATGATGAGTTAAAGTCCTCACATCTTGAGGTTGCCAAGGTTCGAGCACGGAGGAGATGAGATTTGCCTTAGGATGATTTTGTACCCCTCTCTCTGGTCCCACCTTCGCTCAGGATCTTCTATGTCTCACATGACTCCCAAGACCTCAAGATCTTCAGCTACATCGCCCGGGACGGCACCAACAACTCCTTTCGCTGCAACGTTTTCAAGTCCAAGAAGAAGGCAAGCCAAACTGGGCCAAGCTGGGCTACTTGGTGCCAAGTATCGGCTCCGGCTAACCCGGTTATCTCCCCGCAGACCCAGGCGATGCGTGTGGTGCGGACGGTGGGCCAAGCTTTCGAGGTGTGCCACAAACTGAGCCTGCAGCACGCCCTCCAAGACGCAGACGGCCAAGCGGACGGGGCCAGCAACAACTCTGCCGATGACGCTCAGATAGAAGGTGAGGCGTTGAGGGCACCTTCCCTGGATGGTAAATCTGGAGAAGGCAAAGGGGACTCATATCATCATCTTGGGCTTCCTAAAAACGGAGGATTTGAGATGGGAAAATAAAGTCTGCCAGGCCTCTCCCACTGCAAGCAAAAAGCAAATGGTTGCAGGATACCCTTTGATCCATCCAGAAATTAAATTCCCTGCGGCAGATAAGTCGAGACACACCTAAATGAGCTTGTTACCCAAGGTCAACCTGTCTAGATGAAGGGTAGATAAGCAGTCCAGTTCTCTTTTGTAGGGAGTTTCAAAGTAACCCACTCCGAATCTACTCCAGGTTCCTCCTCCCGCTCTTTCCTAGGCTGGGAAGGGGTTTCTCTGGGGAACCAATTAGCTTGAAGACAGCGCCCCCCCCCCC